TAGATCTATTACCAATTATGAGACTCTCGATCATATTGGCAATAATATTTGAACTTATAATTATATGAATTATGGACCAATTAATTCTTACCAACTGAAATAATCTTATTCACTCTTTATTTGAATTAATGAATATTCACAATTATTTCATTATTTATTATTTTTGGGGCAAGAAATTGTAGCTAGCTTCTTGTTTGCAATATGCCCCATTGAAAAGCATACAAGATACTGTTCAATTAATCTGGAAGAGCATACAAATGAAAAAGGAAAAGGAAGCTAGCAAACAAATAAACGAGAATTGTATATGTATATATATATATATATATATATATATATAGTGGAGACTAAAGTGAATAATGAGTGTATTGTCAAGAAGGAAGGATTCTGGTTTTACAAGTTGCAGAGAGAGACCCACCAATTGAAGACACAGCGAGGCATAAAAATGGAACCTTTATCTCTGAGATAGAGAAACTGAAAGCAATAAAAGAAGAAAGAAAGAGAGAAGGAAAGAAAGAAAGAAAGAGATTAAGACCTAACACAACCCAAAGGCTAAATTCTCTGTTCGCCCTAAAGTGGAGGCGATTGAAGGCACAGTGGTCCCTTGTTTACTTCAAATTATAGAGCAATGAATTAAACTAAGACCTACCTATATACCTAGCTAGCTTCATCTTCCTCTTGTACAAGAGCTATGTATATAGCCAGGGTTTTGAGATATTTACTCGTGTGCTGAAACTGATGAGTTCTCTCACATCATCACATGCATGTTTGTCATTCCTCTTCTTATTCATCAGTTAAGAGCTAAAAGATCTCTGTCACTTGCTCGCTCTTGTTCAGCATGTTCATCACTTTTCGCTTTCACAATTCGGATTTTTTTTTTTACTTCATAAAATTGACGGTATGAAGTGTGTGTATGTATACATTTGGATAAAAATAAAAATTAAAAAGGTAATAAGGATGTGCTTTAATTATTCTCTTATGTGTTACTTTCTATCTATGTTTTGTTGTCAATTCTTCCATACCACCACTAAATCTTGTCGTCGACAAACGTCTCAGTGGTGGTTTGTATATGTGTGTGTGTTTGGCAAAATTTCATGAGGCGTGCTAGAGACTTAATAATGGGTCTTGGGTCAAAGATTATGACTTCTATGAAACAAGCGGTGGCTCTTTGAAATCTCCTGTAGTTTTGTCAAATGCGATAAAGCGGTTTATGAAATTTTTGATTTATTGCATATCAATAAGCATATCTAATTTAGCGTGTGTCTGTGTGTGTGTGTGAGGCACAGATATTCAAAAAATTAAAATATGTTTAGCTAGCTATATATTTATAATTTTTATTATTTAATTAATGCATTTATGTTTTAAAATGAAATGGAATAATTATTACTAATTTTTTTGTGAGATGTAAGAGTATTCTATGCTCGATCGGCAACGGAAACTAACATCTTCCTTAAAATATGATAACAAAGAGTACTAAATTTATTTGTTGAGTATGGTAATTTTGGAGGAACACGACAACTAGCTTTTCATCTATGTGGAATCTTTCTCTATTTTGTTCTCGAAATTGACTAAATGAGTTTTCACATGCATGTGAATGTGTTTTAGCTGGGTTTCCATTGCTACAACTATGCCGAATAATAAAAAAAGAAACACAGCAAAATAAAATATTCACGATAAGTATTCATAATTAAAAATAGGAAAATAGGCCAGCATTGGTCATAAGAAAAAGAACTATAAATACTTAAATATGAGATATCAGGTTCGAATCTAATCTAAGTAAATATAAAATGCCAAAGCCTCGCAAGGTTAACCCTAGATTTGTAAGATTGAAAGAGGGGTTTTGTAAATATAAGCCTTTTTTTTTTTTAAACAGACTTTTCAATCATGTCGTCTCTTTTATGCTCAAACCCAGGGACCGACTCCTTAGGACCTGGCTAAAGCATTTTTCACCGTTAACTAGATGATTTGGAAAAAAAAAAAAAAGTTGAATGATCACCTTTTTTGTATAATAGGCTAATTCGATGGCTATTTTTTTAGTGACAAATAAGCAACATTAACTTAATTTGATAACTAAATAATTAGGAAGTTTATTCTGAGATACACACACACAGAGTAAAAGAAAGGGGATGAAATTATGGAATATTTTTTTTACCTGAATGAAATTATAGAATATAACAATCGTTGTCTCTAGATGTGTCAATCTTAAATATTAAGATTCCCATCATACATATATTTCAAAATATGAATTTAATTTTTTTAAAAAAGGAATACATAACTGTACGGCTGAAACTGAAAGTCATCGAAGCATTCAAAGAATGTAAACTGAATCAGTAATCATGCACCCACAGTTTCTGAGTAAGTCTGATTAAGCAAGGCATATGCAAGAAACTATGGATTAATTAATTAATACCATAATATAATATATAAAACAAAACTAGTTTCATTTGGGCCCATTTAGTTTAAGTATATCAAGATATGAGTTCATTGAAAGCAGACAATTTAGACCCGTGAATATAATATTATCAACTATACACTCGTGAGTGTATGAGATTACAAAATTAATTAATATACCTTTTTGACCTGAAAATTAATTATTATACTTATGGAAACAAAGTAAATGGTCACACTGCCACACAAACGGTGCTGTGTCTGATCGAAATTAATTTTTAAAACGGTTAGTTATTTTGTAGTATTAGAATGATATTATTTAATTATATTTTGGTATGTTCTAATTCGGATTAGATTCTGCACCTCGGATTAAGATAAACCTCCATTGATTTCTACGCTCTAATCATGTGCAATACAAATATACATGAACTAGAAATTCTCACGCTCCTCTGCGTCTCCTATTAATTACCTTTTAAATTAATTAATGTATTGTTTTTAATTTGTCGACATAGATAGGATATATTATTAGAAAATACTCCCTCCGCTACATGATGTAAAATATTTTTAATATGTTTTATGCATATTAAGAATTTTTTTTTATTCTCATGAAATTTTTTTTTTCGATTTTTCCTATCTACAACTATTATTGCAATTTTTCATGTAGAATTATTCAAGCACATTAACCGATACAAAGGCAAAGCTGGCTGGAAAAACATTTCTTAAAAGGGAGGGCATTTTGCACCGATAAGACTTTATAGAAGATGTTTTATATTATAGTTTTGAGATAGTAAAAACTTATTGAATTTGAATGTGTATTACTTATTAGACTTAGCTTGAAAACCAAGTTGACAAATGACAAGCATGACTCTTACTATGTGTGTGATTACTATATATGCAACGAATATTGGTCACTAAGGCCTTCTCATCTTATATAATTCAAATATTAAGTTTTTAACTATGTGAGAACATTGGTTGTCCCTAGACCTATGCCCTGGGGCATTGGAAGCCACCACCAAATGACCAGATAAAGCTCAACATTGACGGTGCAACAAAAGGGCATTTAGGTTTAGCCAGCTGTGGGGGTATCTTTCGTGACATTGAAGGAAAGTGAATGGGAGGTTTTGTATGTAATCTAGGCATGTGTACAGCTAAAGAAGCTGAATTTTGGAGTTTCTATTGTGGTTTGCAAATGGTTCGTAGGCTCAATTTGACTAAACTGATTGTAGAAAGTGACTCCTCCTTTGTTATTCAAGACTTCCAAAGTGGTGCAAGAAAACAATGATTCACATCAATGGCATATGTGCTATCTTGTTAAAGTTATCACTGAGGATTGCCAAATTATGGTGATACATGTGTTTTGAGAAAGCAATAGGAGTGTTGATCGGTTATTCAAGTTTGGGTTGACTCAATGTATTAAGTATAGTATCCTTAATGAACCTCCTAGAGATCTTATAGAGTGGCTGTATTAAGATGTTAGGAGTCATATTGACCCTAAGTTTACTATTAGTTAAACAAAGGTTCGGGCTCTACTTCATATTTGATAAAAATAAAAAATAAAATGGTCAGATGCTAAAAGTTCATCAAGGTTTAGGACAAAACCTTAATTTTAAATAGCATTTTTATAAGTGCTATTCAAAATTAAAGTGCTGGCATGGACAATGAAATGTAAACTCATGTTTTTTGGAGTATAAATCACATCCATTTTATTTGAAGCATAACAATCATTAGTATTTTTCTTATAAACTTATAAATAATCATGAAACTAATACACGTGTAGTTTTATAGCAAGTCATGCGGGAAAACAAATGAAAAATTACACACAAACATAATTAAATATCATAAAATTGATCTATTGACAATTGCGCATTAAAAAATAACAATTAAAATAATTGACGCTTTGTTATTAGACCTCGTGGCATTTAATGGTACTATGAAGACCCAAACATAATTCATAAAAAAAGGATGAAATGATGGCAAAATAACAATATATTAACTAGTGCATGTTTGTATATCCGTTTAGAATCAATTTTGAAGGCTAAAACCATAGTTTTATGAGAATATATCTAAACACTCATATTATATACTAAAATCAATTATGAACTAATTAAAATTATAGTTTTCTTTAAAACATCCAAACACCTATTATAAGGGTGTTTGGTTATATTTTCACAAAATCATGGTTTTATCTGATTTTCAATTATATTTTAAAATTATTTTTACTAATCAATCTTATAAGTCAATTATACTACATATATAATAAATTATATTCAAAATCAATCATATACATCAATTATATCCCAACTAAATTTCATTCAATGTTAATCCAAACACATCCCTAAATAAAGGAAGAAAAAAGGAACAACGAAAATTGAAAAGTGGTACGAAAATTAAGAGAATGATATTTTGGCAGAAGCAACTGAAATGGATTGACTTGGAAATTTTGGTGTGGTGAAGACCAAAATTAGCAAAACTAGCAAAACATTAATTTTAATCTAAATTGATGAGTTATTAAATTCCCACCATCTCATTATAGGGTCCTGTTTTTATCCTCAATTATTTTATTATTATTACTGCTACAACTAATAAAATAAAATAGAATATATAGTCTGATTCAATGATACACCAAACGTAAGAAGAATTATTATAACGGCCTGTTCCTTCAAATATAACAAAACGACAACACTAAACGGAATAATTAACCAAAACAAGTACGACATTAGAACTTGGGAAATAATTAATTAAAGCTTAATTAATCAGTCGTTTCCTTAATTTCCTTTGATTTGATTCTTGACATTTTGTGTCTCTCTATGTATATATCTTTGATGGATCATCGATCAGTTGGTGGCGCCTTCTTCTATATATCCCTTTAGAGACCCTTTTGGTGTCAATCCAAATCCCTTTGCGTCTGATTTCTTCATAATCCTCAACCTCTTGCAGGACTCCATAAACATCCTACAAAATCCAACACAATTTACCATTAATAATTGACAAATAAATAAATTAAAATTAGATAACACACGTGTGTTTAAATATAAAGGTACTAAAAATTATACCAGTTATCAAATCATTCAATGACTGATTTAAGGGTTAATAATTAAAACTGTGATTAAATAGGTCATAAATAAATTATTTTATTAAATTGATCAAGGTATTAGATCAACAAGTTACTGGTTCAAATGGTCTAATTGACCTGGTTTTGAACACCAAGGTATGGACTTTATGTGTCGTATAGATGTGGTAATTAAATTAGTCTTTGAATAGGGTCATTGGACATATTGATGATTCTTTGAGATGTGGCCACCTAAAAAAAAGCTTATTTTATTTTATTTTATGAGGGAAGAACATTATTATTATGAAGATTTTTCGGGCTTCCCAGCATGATAACGAGGAATTCACGCATGTCGGCTATATGTGGTCCAACCTACATTATTGGTGTCACGAATATGAATACTTTTATTTTCCTACCATACATGAATACGATATATATATATATATATATATTTGAGAGTATCTTTTAATAATTAATTAAACAATTTAGATTATCACACACTTTAAAATCTTAAGTATTCTTTAATTGAATTCTCTCATTCACTGATATTACTATTCTTGTTGCTTAAATATTGATAATACTAAAAATTTACCCAATCAGCATGCAGATGCCGATGATTAGGGATGATTTACTAAATTAATTTGAGCGTAACTGAATGGACAACTTAATGATGAAGCATCATGTTTCCAATCAAATGTACCTTTCGTGGACTACAATGTAATAAACCAAACTAGTTTATATATATTCATTATATATATATACATATATATATGAATATAGGACCTGATGGGATGGCATATATAAATCTGTGGGACTATATTTGTCGATGAGATTGAAAACCAGATGCTGATAAGTATAGTTGATGTACGTAGTTGAGTAAATAATACGTAAAGAACCATCAACATCACAAAATGATAAAACAAAATACATAAACATAAATACAAATAACAGTGGTTAGGTCCATGGATTTGATTCTTTTTAAATAAGGTTGAGAGTTCAAATATAGTGGATAGAAAAACATCACGCGAGAAAACTAATCCTAGTTGACCCCGTTAATGTTCTAGTATTACTTAATAATATTAAATATAAGATAACTATTAAACTATATACAGGAAAAAAAAAAAGAATAAATGTAGCATGTAGTTTTCAAAATGTGATAGTTTGTTGGTATTGTGGATAATGATAAGGTTGGCCAACACACGACGTGACTCCGGGGGACAAGTTTTCTGGCTCTACTACGTTTTAGTGTTTTCATTATATTTTCCAACATAATTAAATATATGCATACCCCACCTTCAAAAAAAAAAAAACTAAAATGTCTGTGCAATTTGCACATATCTCAAAATTAATGATATGCTTAAAATTTATGAATATTACGGCTAGTTATAATTTTATTGATTTATATATTAATATATTTAAAATAATTTTTTATAATTTATGATATGCCATGACTAAATAATTTTAATATTAAATATATTAAGTTCCTTGATTGCAAATAACAGTCCTTAATTATTATTTTGACAACCTGAATTAGATGTAGACATGTTTGTAAATAATAAAAAATAATTCATTGAAAGGATAATTAAGTTTCATATATATATATATATATATATTTAATTTCCTCAAATCTTGAAATTAAACACTATTAAATAATAATTAAATGAATACTTGTAATTTGATGTACGCCACAGGCATGACAGAGTAACAGGTTGAGAATAATCCCTCAATTTCTGAGTAATAACTTAAGATATAAGATACACTCTTTCTGAAGAACTTTTATACCTGTGAAGAACATACTTCAGCGATTTTTATATGCGACTTTTCCTAAAAAAATACTACTAGCATAATCACGAGAGGCAACAAAATTAAAATATTTAGAAATGCTATAATAAAATATACTCTTTTAATGTATGACAAGTTTTGAAAGCTTTTAACTAATTAATTATTTTTTTCAATTTTTTTTATTTAGTTATTATGATTTGAATTCTTAAACATTAATTTAATATAGTTATTAATTTAAAAAAGAACTAAATTTGAAAAGTTACATATATTTTTCCGCCAAAAAGTTGTATATTTTTTAAATGATTAAATAAGAATATTTGTGTTATAAGAAAATGAATGATCTGACTATAAACTACAGAAAAATTAAAAAGGAATTAATTAATGAGAAAAAGGAAGGAAAGAGAGACTTACTCCCAAGGGACATCTCCAACCAGCATCCAGTCACCCTCTTTGTCCTCATAAATGGGAACGTGTTCGCTTTTGTCTCCATTCTTCAACGTCTCCTCTGTCCATTCATAATTAATTAGCATTTATTCATTTTTTATTCACTAATCTCCTTCTATTCTTATTTTAATAATCCCCAAAAATCATCTCCAATGTCCTCATTTCTTTGTCTCCAAGTCAAGCGATATACATGATCATGCATATGTAATTAATATGCTCTGCCCCTTTTCAGATATTTCCGACTAATAATTCAAAGGTCCTATATATATATATATATATATATATAATATATATATATATATATTTCATTAAAAAAATATAAAATATTTTTAATCAAATCTCACCCTTTAAAAAAGTGATTATTTATTTTTAAATTAATTATATATTTTTAAATTTATCTCTATTATACACCCTATAATAAATATGAAGTTAATATCAATAGAGACATTTTTAAAAAAATAATGATTATATTTCAAAAGACTAAAAATATTTTATATTTTTAAATATTCAACTCCGTAAAAAATACCTTATATTTTTTAAGGAAAGGAGTATATTCTTAATTAGTCATCTTCTATATTATATTTATTTTATTATAATTATTTTACAAAATATCAATCTTTTTTTTCTTTCTTTGTTAATCTCATCGCCCAACGCCCAAAAACTTAGGGTATTAATTCAGAGCCAAAACGTAAAAATACTTAAAAAAATTTTGACCAAGAGTATTCAATAATTTAAAGTAAAGAAAAGTACACGAATACCTACAAAGTTAATGGTCAATATTTTTTAATTTTAATAATTTGATCATAGATGCATTAAAAAATTATTAGTATTCATGCACTTTTTTCACTCAGAGTTATATTTGATGCTCTTAGCCCGCGACTTCTTAAATATATTTTTCCTTTTGCCTGATTAATTTATTACCATACGTGGGACAGTTATTATCAACAAGCCTCACACTTTAGCATATTACTCAAACTCAATACCTCACAATAGGAGTACTCGAACTCAAGATTCAAGGCAGGTGGATTTGATACTAAATACGAACTACAAATTTAAAATCATTATTACAAAAAATATTTCTATTAGTTGTATACATCTAACTAATCAGATAATAAACCTATTTTTGCATGTTTAATAGTTTCTTCATCTTAATTTCTATGTCGTAACACGAAAAATCAGGTTTGGCTAGAATGAAATTGAAAAAGAAGAAAAGAAAACTCACCGAGTCCATAGCAACCAAAGAGCTTTTCCAAGGCAAAAGCGAGTTGAGAGTAACACTTGTGTTTTTCCAAGTCTATTTTGCGCAAGAAAGGAGCTCCATCCATGCTCACTTTCACGTACATTTTTGACCCTTCGTTCACCATGCTATTCTTCCTCCGGTACGAGCACACCGGCGGCCACCCCACCACCACCTCCTCGTTATTCTTCTTCCCCGCCGACAAGCTGTTCTGATCATCTCCGCCGCCGCCATGATCATCAATCTCCGAGAACAGCCTCTTCTTCTCATTCTTCTTCTTCATCCCCTCCCTCCCAGGAAGACCCAGCCTCAGCTCTGTGATCTCAAGTCCAAGTCCACCATCTTTTTCCATCATCAAAACCCCACAATAATTTTCTCTCTTAACTTTCCCGGAAAACTTCAAATTTTCTCTCTGGACGATGGACAGAGAATATATCAATATATGTGTGTATATACTGGGGAGGGAGTGGGTGGGCTTATGTATATAGATATAGAAAATGTGAAATAAATGAGGACATGGTGGGGGCAGTGACAGGTCAAGTGATGGGTTAGTGGTCGGTCACATGAGAAACAAACGTAGGGACGAGGGTGTTTAGGTGGGGTGCCCCACAAGAGCACCGATAAAGGGAAGCACTATAAGTCGAATATGGGGACTACGTATCTGATGGATCTCATTCTTCCTTTGATTTGGTCAGATTTAATTCCGTCCGTCCGATTAGGTGACTGGGAAACACGCCATGTGGTTTGCTTGATTCAGGACCTCTTCGCAATAAATTATGCACAGTAAAGGTCATCGTATGTAATGGGTCTCCGCCTTGGTTTTTTTTTTTTTAATTTTTTTTAGTAATTAAGAAACATGCATTTCCTTATGCATTCTCATTCTGCTTTTCTTTCTCTATATTTTTAAATTTTTACATTGAAGTCCCTATACTTAATTACGTGGCCGTCTACTTTCGAGGCATTTGATCCCACCAAAACTTGGTGACTGGCTAGCTTGTTTTTTTTTCTCTAAAAAAAGAGTTATTAATATCGATTTAAATAATTAAAAATTTATAAATTTTAATTGCAGCATTAAATTTTAAATATAGCTAAATTTTAATTTATAGTTAGAATTTATGTTTGCAACTGTCTCAATCAATATTTACAATTAATTTTTTAAAAAAGTTTTAGAAACCTAACTATCATTCTTTCTATTTATTTTGTGTGTGTGAGAGAGAGAATAATATTATGGAATGTACGTAATGGGAATAAACATTGGTTACTTAGATTAATATAGTTTCAAAAATTTAATCTCAACTTCTGAATTTCCACCAATTTATCTTTGATTTGCACTTAAATATCTAATTATAAATGTGAAATTTAAAATAAATAAAACTGTATAAAAAATAACAATAAATGAAAATTAGATCAAGGTCTGGTGAATTTAACTTTATATAAATCAGAGTAGACTCCATAAAATCCACGTATTTGTGTACAAAATTTAAAATAAAATGCACTATTTTCATATAGTACGTAATGGTGTTCTCAATTCTTTCCCTTTTTATTTATTTCACGGTAATTAGTTTGAATTAACATGAATATAGATTTTTATATAAATGAGGGGTTGATGCGATTAATTATATGGCCATGATCCATCCAAGATGGTCTAAGTAAGCATACATGTATAGGGACTACGGTGGGGACAAAGGACCAGAATCAAAAGCAAACAATAATGATCAGTCAAAACTTGAAAATGTACACCAAAGTTAACAATTTCGCACACCATGTTTGCCTCTTTCACACGCCTCTCCTTGAAACCACCTGGTTTCATTATATTCTTCACTTTTCTTAACCCAAATCATTATTAGCCTTAATCCTCTTTTAACTAGCACTTTTATCATTAATCCTCACCTTTCCCAAACACATCGTACAATGAACTTGACGTCTTCCACAGTACACTTACCTAATTCACACGAAAACTATTTATGATACACAAAAAATGGTCCTTGATATTTTGTTAGGGTGTCAAGTATGAATAAATTTGATTCGGTCTGGAGAAAAGTCTTATATCATATAGAGTTGTATTGAAAAATTAGTATATAACTGAAAAAGATCAATGAACATAATATTTTAAAATTTTAAATTAAAATATAATGTCGTATTTATTTACGTACATCTTTTTGGAACTGTTAGACTAACTGTTTTCTCTTCCCTTCTGAGATGCTCTCTAGACCCATCATATTATAAACTACTGAACAAAAAAAATTAAATTATTATACAAATAATCAGATGACTTATCATTTTTATCTCTATTTTTAAGAGGGATCATATAATTGAAAAGTTGTTGGAAAAAAAATAAATAACAAAATAACTTTTCTTAAAACAGGTAAAAGATGTCCTAAATACGATATGAACTGGAGGGAGTACATGTATGTATAACATCTTTTATATGTCAGTCATCACCCACTTGCTTTGGTCAATTTGATTGGTAATTTATAGTAATTGCTCTCTTAATTTCCTATTCTTTTTTAGGGAAAGCATATTATTAATAACATCTCAATCACCTTGACTGCTCCGCCACCTAACTTGACTTTTCTGTCTCATTAACTTTGTCAATAAACATAATATTCTACGCATTTTAGAGGTTTCATATACGATATATGTTCCATGAATGAATCTTGAGATTTTCGTATAATCATTTAAGTATTATATTTTACCCAAATTTTACGCTAATAATGATCTAACGGCAGACACGTCCAAAGCACAAAGACTATGATGCGTCATCTTTCTTTCTTATATTCTTTTTTAATTTCACTTGGATTAAATTCTGTTATATCCTTGTGAATACATGTATGCACTTTAGCATAAATTATTTTCAGTCTTCATTTGGTCAAATGTAAACAACCTAGCTACCCCCAGTATTTCTATGACCAAGCACCAAAAACTTATTTATAATTTACCCCTTGATTAGTAATTAATCTTGGCATTTCTCAAAATATGCATGCACGTGTGTGTGGAGCCGGTAATTTTAGTGGGCCAGGCTTATTTAGATAGGGCTTGAAGCATCCTCCCTTTTTAAAAAAGTCCACATAGCCAAACTTGGCCCTAACTTTTTTTGGCCGGATTTGGATTGACCCGTCAGGCTTGGCCAAAATTGACAACTCTATATACATATAAAGCTAGAAATTCTAGCCATCGGGTTTATTTGAGACAGGCTCAATTTAGTTCAAGCTTATTTGGATCGGGCTTCAAGTATCTATACAAATACTATATAAATAGAACTGGATTTATCTATATAAACATGCACACACATGTGTGTGGAGGTGGTAACTTGGGTGGGCTAGGTTATTCAGATCAGGCTTGAAGTATCTTCTCTTCTTAAAAAAGCTCATATAATCAAGCTTGGTCCTAACTTTTTTTGATTAGGTTTGGATTAGCCCGTCAAACTTGGCTAAAATTGCCAACTCTATATACACATGGAGCTAGAAATTCTAGCCATCAAATTTATTTGGGATGGGCTCAATTCAATCCATGCTTATTCGGATTGGGTTTCAAGTATCTTACCCTCTTAAAAAAGCTCATAAAGCCACGTCCATCCTTGACTTTTTTTCAAGCGGGTTCAAGCTAGCTCGAATAACCAACTTAGAGAGAGAAAGAGAGAGATGGTTGGCATGCATCTTGATATCATCTTGTGTGGGCATGGCATGGTGAAAGAAGGATACAAAGAATAAAGTTCAGAGACACAACACCTCCATTATCATACATTTTCCTGATTCTTTTTGTTAAGTTACATTCGCGATCACATCAAATATGTTACCTAAGCAACCTAAAAAAACAAAAACAAAAAGCCGCACTGAGCTAATTTGGTTAGAGTGGGAATAAACTTTAGGATGTTCCATGTAACTTAATACCAAAATAATAAAAACAAACTGTCTCAAAATATTGTATGCAAGTCTATATCTCGACCATATATCTTATCCCTTGCCCGTGAATCTGGTGCTGGATATCCAAGTGCCATAAAACTGTTGAAGATGTGATACATGAAGTAAAACACTTTATTTTGCTGTACGTTCCATTATCCCAGATCTCTGACCTAGACTAATTCAATTAACAATTTTTGGGCAAGCTTGTAATTACCTTAAGGTAAATCTTAATTATCAAATTGGCTTAAACTATTTTGATATAAAAACAAACTTAATATATACCTAGCTAATTCCACAAAGTTTAATAGAATATACCTCCCACTAAGAATTTAATTGTTACTGCATAATCAAGGTTCAAATTCAAAGCCTCCAGTTAAGTTGAATCAACTCCTTTTGCAAGGTGGTTTGGTTTTCCTCTCGTTTAATTAGTTTTTAAGGTCCCATAATTTGAAGATCAGAAGCAATCACGTTCTGTGTTGGCTGCAGAATCAAAATCAATTTTTCTGGGCCTAAAAAATCTACCCTAATTAGCCTGCTCGTTTGGTGATGAATATGTTTGTATATGTATATATAATCAAGACAGTAATTTAATTATGTCTAAGAAGCATCATTCAAATTCGATTCCTTTTTCCATATGCATTACTTGGGTTCATCTTGTTAACATATTTATGGTCAATGTACATACATAATCACAAATGATATTGCCAAATTATGTAGACTCTGATCTCCATCATCATTTGAAATATGCTATTCAAATCATAGTCTATCTGAATTGGGATCTCTTTGTAGTACAAGGAGTGAACATCGATCAACTTATATGCAAGTCTAGAAGAATTTAAGATTACACAAAAGCATGAGACTTATAGTATGGATAAATGTTTGTTTCAAACAAACATGTAATCATACATAATCAAGATCTCAAAATTTTTTAATGCTAATTAACTTTTATAATGACCTTTAATTACGTGTATATCTATATACAATCGCAATTGGAATTATATATATATAAATGGGTTCCACTGAATTGAAGTAATGCTTTTGCTATTAAAAATAATGTTAATGCTTTCTAACGGCTTCCCATTATTATAATTCAAAAACATTATTCACAAGAAACCCTTTTTTTTTTATTGCTATATATCCCTTTGTGAATTCCTAAAGATGCATTGATCTTTCAGTTTGTATTTAGTTATGTCAGGTTTTGTTGCCCCATGATTAGTGTAGTTGGACCGATACGAATATTCAAATCTCATTGCACAACCATATTATACACACCTTGATGCATGCATATACGTATTTGGATCAATGATAAATAATATGATTTAATTAATAGTATTATTATAACAACAAGCCTGAATGTAGAGTCCAACATTTGTCAGAAACAGAGAATTTAAATAAACCAAATTGATAGGTGATACATTGTGTCAATATATATATATATATATATAGGAGAGTCAATCAGTTACTGTGATTAATTAATTAAAGGATACAAAGTCTTGTGGTTTGGGGACATATTAAAGCTGAAGTAAGACATTTCAGACTTTAAGCACATGCTTGTTAA